AGACCATCACCTATCACCTTAAGATTTTGGATTGAAATAGTTCTTTAACATATATATATATATATATATATATAATGTTATAAAGCGTCTACCAAAAAAAAATGTTATAAAGCTCTGTGTCACATAATAGTGATCAAAGATTTATTACATAGTTTCATTTGAAAGATTAGAAAAATCTAGTAAAATATTGTTCTTCTCATCAAATAATGTTATCTATGGTTCTGAAATGCTTGCAGCAAAAGGTGGTGATAAAAGTGTCTATGAATGGCTCCAAGTCCAGGTCAAAAGCTATGAAGATTGCAGTTGGAGTTTCAGGTAAGAAAAGTTACAGGGAATTATTAATTCTCACCCTTTTTTATTCATGAAGTTCAAAATCATAGCTTAAAAAAAATATATGCTCTTTGCAAAATCTTCAGGAGTGGAAACTGCAGCTATTCAAGGGGAAAACAAGGATCAAATAGCGGTAACTGGAGAAGGGATTGATTCAGTTTGTCTCACATCACTTCTAAGAAAGAGTTTTTGCCATGCCGAACTTGTGAGTGTTGGCCCTGTGGCTGTGGAAGAGAAGAAAAAAGAGGGAATTACACTACCAATAGTGTGGCCTTATGTGAGTGGTGTTCCTCAGTGCCCAGTCTATGAGATAAGGCACCCATCTCAATATCAGGACCCTTCTTGTTCCATCATGTGATCAAGAGAGTTTTCAAAGGAAGAATGATACCAAGAAAACATACATTGATTAGGCTTTTTAATTTATGTAGCATTGTTGCAACCAAATCCTTCTGCTGTCTGCAACATGTTGGACCTCGTTTCATCGATAAGCATAAGACAAAATGTTAACAAATCATTAAAAAAAACAACAACAAAAAATGCTACAAGAATTATATATTGTAGAAAGAAAAAAGAAAAAGAGAGAGTGAAAGTAGAAGAGATAAACCAGTTATATTTTGAGCATGTATGGTGTGATATGGGAGAGGGTTTCAATGATTTTATTCAATATTTTATATTTGTTGGATGTAACAAATAAAGTTAAACGCAAATTTTGAAACCTGATCAGGGTTACGGGTTATGTTGAATTTGTGGTCTCAATTGTTAAGGTTTGATGCAGAAATAAAATTTATGTAAACAGAGGACTACAGAGTGGGAGAAGAAAGAGAGTTAATTTTTTAATGTATGACTGCACTTACATGTGCTATGGTACAGAAATCAGGTTTGACTGTTTTGAGAGTTTTATTCATGTTGGATGTAACAAAGAGTTTCATAATGAAGCTTCTCACAAATGATTGCAAAATGTCCATGTTCTTATTGGCCTCTGTCTAAGATCATTCTGAATCACAAAAGTTCTTCTAATACACGTGTGTTTCTAGTGGCGTCTTAGGTTCGATTCTGAGGTTTTCTTTTTTTGTTAGGCGATATATAATATGCCATCTTAAATTCTTATTGAATCTTCATTGCAGTTGATGATTTTTTTCTGACTTTTAAATTAAAAGAAGAAACTATGATTCTAGCGGGGATGACTTATCTTTGATTGGATTGAAGAAATTGATTAGTCCATACACGAGACTTGACAAAGGCCTATATTATTGTAATCCTACTAAGTAGCAATGGATCAACAATTAGACCCCCAGTACTCCTAAGAGGCCCAAAAGTCCACTCCTGCCAGGTAACTCATATATAAATAAGGGGTTAAACCAATAAGGTACACACACTCTAAATCCTCTTTCTTAACTTGTCACTGTGTACACACCCCACGCTTTGACTATGTCGTTATATTATTGAGCACAGTGATCCGCTTATCTTTAGGGTACCTCTCCTATAGGTACCTGAGGGAGGGCAAACAAATCCTATATTAAGATATCAATCTTTGATTGGACATTTACGATTATCAAATCGTAACAACGAACAAACTGACTTAATCCCACATGCCCGTCATTTAGAAAAGAAAATTGGAAACTATAATGATCTTTTCAGTAATGGAAAACCAACATTATTTAGAAATTAAATAATTAACAGAGGAATGATTCAAACATGGAAAATAGGAAACAAAATATTTCATTTGGTGGTTGGTAGGAGCCTCGTTCTCTTTATCTAGTGGCTATTATTTAGCCATTGCAATTAAAATTCAAAGTCTAAGTAATGCAAAGGTAATATAGATATATAATTTTAAAAAGTTCATATAGCTTACTTAATCTTGCAGCAATACAATGAAGGAACGGTGCTTCATTCCATTAAACTAACACCGATTTATCATATGAAATACAGCAATTTATGATTGTGCTGAGAGAATCAAACGGTGGTAGCTCAATTAACGTATGAGAGTTAAGCAGGTGGAGTGAGAGCATGTGTTTGAATTTCTCCAGTATCACTTTTGAAAAAAGTTTAAAGCCTTAATCCTAAACCCACACTGAATTAAATTAGTTGCGAAGCAATAAATCGATTGGAATATTTCAAAAAAAAAATGATTCTGCTGAGAGTTTGACTTTGCCCATATAATATTGTTGCTCCGTCTAGATTATTGTTGTTTTGGACTTTTGCGAACACAACAGCAAAATTGAAATAAACTAAATAGCATTCGTTCCATGAGGATATTGAAATCATTTAGAAAGCATAAAGTAAAAAATTGACAATTTGAAAATGAAAAATAAAATAATTTTATTTGGTTCAATTCATGTAGTTGTTGTAGCTCGTGTAATTGCTGGAGAGGTGAACTCGGTTTTTGTTTATTTATTTTACGTCGGCTGTCTGATTGATTGAAAAAATATATAGTGTATATTGGAGATTTACAAATAGTTTCTTAATTGAAAATATTAAAAAGACAAATTAATTTTAATTTAAAAGAAAAGGAGATTTTTTTCTTCTTCATAAATCATTCCCATTACCCATGGATGTCAATTAATCCGGATACAAGTCGGACAGAATCTTAAGGAGGATACTGTTCTCCATACTAATTTTTTTAAAAAAATAAAATAAAATTGTGGCACATGTTACCTTAGTCCTCCAACTCATGAGAATATAAACTTTATAGTTATTATTTTCATAAGTTTTAATACATCCGATCTTTTAATAGTCACATTTATTTACATGCAAAAGTTAATTATGGTCAAACAATCTTGGTTCTCTCTGTTGAGATAACATCCCTATATGTTCACGTTCAAACTTCACCTATAATAATGATAATTAAAGTTATTATTTAAAGATATCACTCACTCAAATTTCTCTTCAGAAGAATTATTCAAGTTTTCTAATCATTTTACAACTGTTTTCATTTTTTAACATAGAGGTGGACAAGACTCTTTATTTTCTTCTAAAATCTTCCTTACTAACCAGATATGTAGCATTTATTAGGGTGATTATTCAAACATAACTATGCATCAACAAATGCAATATATGCTCAACCACCAATTATTAAAGAGAAACACACTCCAACACTCTCCATCAATTAAAACCTAATTCAGACCTTTTTGGCTTTAATTGTCACATATTATCATTAACAAACTTAAACTTAAATCTTAAACACAACATGTATCAGGGTAGAAGCGGATTAGGTCGGATTAGTTCAGATCAAAAAAAATTTGGATTGAATAAGTCTGACACGCTTCCTAGACATAACATTTGAGCTTGATATGTTTAGCTGACATTTTTTTAAGCTTAACCTATAAAAATATGGGATTTATTAATCTTCTTTAATAAAAGATAGTTTACATCATGCCATACAAACAAATTACCTGGGTCCAATAATTTTTTAAGAATAAAAAAATAAAGAAAGAATAGCACAATTTTTTATGCCTCACTAGCATAAGATTATTGTTTCCTGTAAAAGGAGATAATTTAAACCCTAAAAATATTTAACACCTTTCTAGTTTATAAATATGTTAACAAGTTTAGAATTTCATATAGAATAACAGATCACCAAAGCCTTTAAATGGACTAACAAGTAACAAATATATAATTTCAATAAAAAATTAATTTAATAATAATAATATATTATATATGTTTATTTAAAATAAGTGAACTTTAAAATTGTATAAGGTTAACGGAAAGCTTACTTTTAACTAAATTATTCTTGTAAAATACGTTGACCAAAATTCTTTATGGGCTGAGTCTTTCATGTAACAAGATAGCTTTATCATCTCCCGCAGATACAAAAACATGGTGGGATTCACCATGATTTTTTTTTAAAAAAAAAATTAAACAAATTTTTTTTAAGTCAGCCGCGTAAGAAAACACTTCTCCTGTAATAGAAAAAGTGTTTTTCCCAATTTTTATTAAACAAACTAGAACAGGTCAATAGGAACCTGACCAATACCACCCGTAATTCCAAGCCATACATTCTTGCTAGATAAAACATAGATAGATAAGTGGAGATTTAATAAATGAGAATTGAAATATGGATATCATGCTCTTTTTTTGTTATACCTTGTGCTGACTTAATTTTACTAGAAAGTAGAGACAATGAAAATTGAATTCGTAATCTTATAATCACAAAAGCTTATTACGAATCAGGCAAAATATGAATTTTTATAGATATGAAATTAATCTCAAGTGAAACCAAGTAACAATTATCAAATTCTCTTATTAATTTGTCTGTCCTATACTTTATATTATCACTTGAGCCAATCCTCAATTCGATATTTTGGGTCTATCTAATTATCACTTACTTACTTAATTATCAAACGCGTTGTTTAATGTGCGGTTGTTGGGTAAACTCTTCCTACATCCAATCTAGAAACCACAAGTAGTTGAATATTATACAAAAATCAAAATTTGTGGAATTATACGCTAACTTCATGCCTAAACAATGACCTATTACCATCCTTTTTTGTTTTCATTCATTGACTGATCAGTTTGGAGTCATCTTATTATATCGAATAGCTCATGTTGACATTTCAAACATTTTTTCAGTTCACGCTATATACTTCATGTGTCTTGAATATATGTGACAAAGTGTCCCTTTTGTTGATGTTTGTTCCGGGTTTATACATTCGGGTATTGATAGCCACAAAATGCGGTTAGAGGAACCCGGGTTTTACCCAGATGGTTATCCAGTCAATTCAAATAGTGGAACCCAAGGTAGGTCCTACCACGATTACATGATGATATTAATAACTACCCACGTTTAGAATAACTACCTATATAAGGGCTATATATACCAAGAATAATAGCCTAAGAAAGACAGATTTGAACCATACCATATCCATATTGATGTTCGTCCAGAACAATGTTAAATCCTACACATATTCAAATTCAGATTTCAGAAATTTGACTTCTAGTTTCGCACGCTACAACAGTCAAATTTAGTGGAACCTTTGTCCAAGAATCGTTACAACTCTGTTAGAACTGTTTCATCATCAAATAGAACGTCTCCCCAAGATACTTTGTTGCAAGTATACCTTTCTCTCCACGCATTGATTTTAAAACAATGTTAAATTATTCCATATGACCTCATAGTTTGACTAAATTTTTAAAGGGAAATATGTCTCTCCAGCCACTGCAAAGACACTGTTCCGTACAGCAGTCACATGCTTTTTAGGATACGGTTCCGTATCGTGAAAAGCATGTGTCGGTTACAGATAACTACTCTGCAGCAACAAGAGATTAAGGGTGTGCATGACAATCATTTTGTTCCTGTCACTGTTTCTGAAAAGAAACAAATCTTTTCTATTTCTGTGCCTTGAAACAATTTTTGAGAAAAAAAATTTGTTTGATAACATGTTTTATTTTTATTCCGAGAATAAGAATTGTGTTTGATAACACAACGAATAATAGAATAAAAAATAATTCTAATTAAGCATAAATTTTTTTTTGGATAATCACTTTTCTTTTCATATGGTGTGGTGGTGGAGGTGGCGGCGGAGGCAGTGGTAATGGTGGCGGTTGTAGTAGTGGCGTCGTGGTGGTTAAGTTGATGGTATGGTGGTGGCAGCGGTGGCAGTAGTGGTGGAGATGGTGGTAGTGGTAAAGGTGGCGGTGGTGGTGGTGGCGACGATAGTAGTGGTGGTAGTGACTGCAGTGGCTGTGACGATGGTGATGGTGAAGACATGGTGGCGGCGGTGTAGTGGTGGCGGTAATGGCGATGACGGTAGTAGTGGTGGCGGTAATGGCGATGACGGTAGTAGTGGTGGCATCGTGGTGGTGATGGCAGTGACTACGATGATGGTAGTGGTGGTTGGGGATGGTTGTAGTGATAATGGTGGTGATGATGATGGTAGTGGTGGTGGAGTTGATGATGGTGATGGTGGCTGTGATGTAGAGGTGGCGGTGGTGACAGCAGTGGCCGCAACGATGGTGGTGATAATGGTGGCGATGGTGGTAGTGGCAGTATAGGTGGTGATGGTGATGACATGGTGGTGGCCGTGGCGATGGTGTAGTGGTGGTAACGGTGGCATAGTGGCGGCGGCGACAACGGTAGTGGTGGTGGTGGCGACGACAGTTGCTGCGACAATGGTGTTGATGATGACATGGTTGTGGCGGTGGCGGCAGTAGTGGTAATGATGGTGGCGGTGGCAGCGATGGTAGTGGTGGTGGTGACAGAAGTGGCTGCGACGAAGGTGATGGTGATGAAATGGTGGCGGTGGTGTAGTGGTGGCGGTAATGGTGGCAGCGGCGACGATGACGTTAGTAGTGGTGGTGGCGGGAGTGGCTACAATGATGGTGGTGGTGGTTGGTGACGGTGATAGTGATAATGGTGGTGACGGTGACGGTGATGGTGGTGGTGGTGGTGGTGGTGATGTGGAGGTGGTGGTGGTACGACGATAGTGGCGGTGGTCGTGTCGGGATGGTGGTGGCGGTGGTGAAGATAGTAGTGGTGGATAGTAATTGTGAGAGATAAGTATTTCTCATTTTGTGCCCGGGAACAAAAAAAAAATTTTGATTTTTTTTTTCTGTTTCTTAACACAAAATTAAATCGATTCATCCCGAGAAAAAAAAAATTGATTTTGTCAAACGAGTTTTCTATCCAATTTTTTTCACGAAAGCAGAATTAAAAAAAAAATGATTACGAAAATATTATCATGCACGCCCTAATAGAACCCATTTTTAAATATATCTTTATAGTTTAAGAGTTTATTATTAGGTTCTCGATTTTAAAAACAATTATGAGTAAATCCTTACAATTTAGCAGAGTTTTCAATTAAGTCCATATTAAATATAAAATTTTGCAACTAAGTCCTAAAATATGAACCAGCAACATATAATGACCTGTATTATTTATTTAAATTCAGAAAAAATTAAATTTTGAATAATAAATTCACTTATCCAATCAATTTCAACCTTTTGGGAAATTTTCATAATTTATCTTTGCTCCGTTTTCTCTTTCCTCTCATCTAAAGGTGGGTATAATTCGATCCAAATCGTTTTTTTTTTTTCTGAATCAAATCAATTGGTTTAAATAGATTCGGTTCAAAGATTCAAAAACCCATTTATTTTTTGGTTTAAATAGATTCTCTTCCCTACGTTTATTTTTCCCAAACATATTTGGAACCAACTTATGATCATCAAAATCAGTTTATGATTTATATCTGGTTCCGAACCAGTTTAAAATTGTTCGGATATGCAAATCAGTTCTACATCAATTTTGAACCGGTTGTGACGATTTGAGTTAAAACAAATCAGTTTGATTCTTCTGATTTTCCAAACCAGTATTATTTAATTTTTAAACTGTCTTATAAAACTAATGCAATCGTTGGCTAGTTTTGGAAATGTTTCTTAAAATGCATTAAAAAATCATAAGTACTAGACTGGAAAGAAGGCTCGAAAACATCATCGCCAACCATTTAAAAATAAAAAAAAACCAAAATGTTATTTGAAGGAGATGGGGGCTTAAAGACCCAACTACAAAGACATATCTCTAATTTATAATGCTTAGCTACCCAATTAGCCGTTGGCATTTCTATTCATCCACACCACTCATGGGGTATTGTTATTATCCAGTTTTTCTTTTAGGTACCGATCCTCATGCATCAAGCTTAATATAGAAGGCCAAAAGAAAAACAACACGTACAATATGCTCAATGCTTTATCAGATATCCTTTAATATGTTATCATTTATTTTTTGGAGAGATATGTCATTGGATATCTACTTTTTTTCTTTTTTCTTTTTGGTATGCTGGATATCCACTTTATTTGTTGGTTACAATTATAATTGTTTTGTGTTTACTATGTATAAGTATAACTAGGAACTAATAAATGTTTAAAAACAAAGGTACATAGATTGACGCGTAGCCCCACGTGCGCGTTTTTTTTCCTGTCTGATAGGGTTTGCTCGATGTTTTGGTAAAATGGAGATCGATGACGATGGTCAACATGCATTGAAGGAGGAGGATGCAACGAAGGGTGTGAGAAGCAGGACTGCTGCTGAAGAGGATGGTGCTTCTCGGAGTGGGAAGAAATCCAAAGGAACCGAGATGGAGGGTTCGGTGATGGATGAGGTCATGAAAGAAGGAGCGAACACGGAGGCTGGTTTATCCTCTCCGATTCGATCGATTCCTGAAGTGAAGATGACGGAGACCAAAGGGGGTTCTCGTGTTAAGGTTGTGTCCTATAAGGACAAGCTACTCCGATTGAACGGCGATGGCGGTCAATCGGACAACGAGGAAGAGCACTGGATCGCCAAACATAAGTGTGAGGAGGAGGAAACAGCTCTTTTGGAGGGGCTTGGCCATGAGGAGGTGGAGGATCCCCTCTGTCCAAGGTATGTGTTCTCCGCGGAGGAGCATCGGCAGGACTGTGAGAAGTGGCGTAAATCCTTGATCATCAAGATGCTTGGCAAAAGATTGGGAGCCAGATTCCTCATTGCAAGGCTTCAAAGGCTCTGGAACCTGGTAGGTTCCTTCGAAACTATTGATTTAGACAATGGTTTTCTTCTGCTGAGGTTCCAAGAGGATGGCGATTATAGGTTCGTTTTGGAGGAAGGTCCCTGGATCGTTAATGATCATTACGTGGTCGTCCAACGCTGGAGGCCACTATTTGATTCTTATGATGACAGTGTGACGAAGATGGCTGTGTGGCTGAGAATCCCTGGATTGCCTATGGAGTTGTACACGGTGAGACATTTGTGGCGCATTGTAACATGTTTGGCCGGACCATTAAAGTGGACAAAAACTCATTAAGGAAAAATGAATTCGGGGAAGCCATAACTGATAGGGGAAAGTTTGCTAGGATCTGCATTGAGATTGATCTGAGAAGGAGCTTCCTATCCAAGTTTTGGATAGGTAACAGGGTGTTGCATGTAGGATACGAGGGACTCCATCTGATTTGTTTTAAGTGTGGTCTATATGGCCATAGGAAAGACCAATGCCCAGAGGTCCAAGCATCGGGGGTCCAGCAGGGATCTGAGGTCAGTACTCAGGGGAGGGAGGAGATTGTCAAGGTGGCAGAGGATGTGAAGGAGGTGAAGCAGGTGGAGGATTTCGGGAGTTGGATGGTGGTTCAGAGGAAGCCAAGGAGTAGAAAACTGAAGGCTAAACCTGTGACTCTGAAAGTGGAGACTGGGAATGAGCAGAAGCCTCATAGTCAAGGAGCTCCTGGTCCAAGTACAGTGGTTACTCCTAGAATGGAGGAAGTGAAGGACATAGGAGTGGAGTATCAGAGTATTGGTAATGAGGCTAGTCATGGTTCTGGGGATTCAGATATTAACATGTTATCAGTTAATGAGCCAGTCATTGTGACTCAAGGAGGAGGGAGTGCTAGCACTGGTCAGCAGAAGAAGCTTAATTCTCCTAAGAGGGGAACTAGAGGGAGTACTCCTAGGGAGGGTAAGGACCGTGGCAAAGTAGGAGGGAAACCATATTCGAAGAAGTCTGGAGCTGAGAACATCCCTCCTAGTCCGGGTTCAGATGGCCAGATCAAAGGGGTGAATAAAAACAGAGGGAAACCCATGGCTAGCTCGGATGGGATGAACAAGATTAGTAGTGCTTCTACCAGTATTGCTAAGAGGGACCAGGGTGGGGATCCTTTGTTGAGGTTGGACCCGGGACTTTCTGGACAGATTGGGAAAGTGGGGATTCCTGTCAAGTTGGTGGGGGGGCCTAATGTCCACCAGGTATGTTGATTCTCTTTAGGGGTTTCCCCTTGTACAGTCTGTTATTTTTAGCTTTCATGTCTGTTTTAGCTTGGAACTGTAGAGGAGTGGGGAAGAGTGGGTTCCCTTCTCTGGTTAGAGATTTAAAATTCAGGTTCAAAGTCAGTATTTTGGTTTTGATGGAGGTTAAGATTGGTGGTTCTAGAGGTGAGGAGATTGCAAGGAAGTTGGGTTTCTCTAATTTCTTTAGGCAGGATCCGGTTGGTTTCTCTGGTGGGATCTGGGTTCTTTGGGACAATAATGTAGTGGAGGTGGAGGTGTTAAAGACTCACCACCAGGTTGTACATACTCGGGTGAGGTACCTAGGAGTGGGGAAAGTTAGCTTCATTTCTTTTGTGTATGGGAGTCCAAGAAGATTGGAGAGGATGACTCTTTGGCTGGAGTTAGAGGCCATTAGCTTAGAGTTCCCTGGTCTTTGGCATGTATTGGGAGATTTTAACTCCATTTTAAAGGCAGAAGAGAAAAAAGGAGGTAGAGAGGTCTGCTGGAGGAGCATCTCTGAGATGCAGCAGTGTCTCATCAACTGCAGTGTTGATGATATGGGTTATAAGGGCCCTGACTTTACTTGGAAACGTGGGAGACTGCATGAGAGGTTGGACAGAGCTTGTTCCAATGAGGCATGGAACATTGAGTGGCCTAATTGCTTTATTTCTCATTTGCCTTTTTTTAATTCTGATCACAGGCCTATTCTCTTGTGTAATGAGGGGAAAGTCAAGCCTAGGGAGCACACTAGAGGATTTAAATTCTTGGCAGCCTGGTTAACAGATCATAGTTTCAATGAGTTGGTTAAAAGAAGCTGGGAGGAGGATGGTAATTGGTTGCATGCTAGGGACCAATTTGAGAAGGATGCTAAGATCTGGCACCAGAATGTGTTCAAGGAGAATATGAGGAGGAAAAACAGACTATACTCAAGGTTGAATGGTTTGGATTCTTACAAGTATGGTAGGTATGACCATAATACAGAACTGTTGCAAAAGGAGCTTTGGAGGGAACTTCAGGCCATTTTGGTGAGGGAAGAGCTGATCTGGTTCCAGAGATCAAGGAATCAGTGGTTGAAATATGGAGATAAGAATTTCAGGTTTTTTCACTCATCCACAATTGCTAGGAGGAGGCATAATAGGATTGTGACTCTGAAGAATGAACAAGGGGAGTGGATTGCTGATTCTGATATGCTGGTAAATATGGCTACTTCATTTTACCAAGGCTTGTTCAGTATTGAGGAAGAAAGGGATGGAGTGTTCCCTATCCAGAATGGCTTCCCGGTGTTAACTGATGCAGAGATGAGAGTCCTTGCTATTAGGCCAAACAGGGAGGAAATAAGGAAGACTGTATTTAGAATGGGGAAATTCAAATCCCCTGGCCCTGATGGTCTAAGTGCTGTGCTTTTCCAAAGCCAGTGGAATGTTGTTGGTGGGTCAGTTTGTCAGCTTGTGGAGGATATTTTTTGCTCTCCTGAGAAGGTGAGGGACATCAATGGTACATTTCTTTGTTTGATTCCCAAAAAGGACAGCCCTGAGAATATGAAAGATTTTAGACCCATTAGCTTATGCAATGTGGTTTATAAGATCATCACAAAGATCATTGCTGGAA